TGTCGTCCACCCCAAGCTCACAACACTAAAAAAAATGCTTTTCGATAAAAGGAAGATGATTTGGATGATGGGTTGGGAAGAGCAGGGATAGAGCCATGTGAAGAAACGTAGACGAATCAAAACTGGATAATTGTTCAGTAACGTTGAAGGCAAATGTAGAAATGGATACAGAGTTCAAGGAGGCAATGGAGTGATAAGAAAATAAGATAAGTGAAAGTGACCGAGGTAGAGTGCCTGTAGACGCGTGAAGGATGTGAATGGGACCACAACTAGTATGGCGAAGTTAGTGCGTGAAAGTGAATAGAGTGTTTGTAGAGGTGTTGAAGCTGTGAATGGGACCACACAATTACAATGCAGGTGGTACAGAGGTCTCCGCTGCTCTGGCTATTAAGTGTAACGCGCACACACACACACACACACACACACACACACACACACACACACACACACACACACACACACACACACACACAGGAGGACTAGGCCAAGGAACATATGCAAATGCATGCGTAAACGAATGTCAACGCATTTTTCAGCGTAGGTATGGAAAATGACAAAGAGCTGTCTTTTTAAGAATAACACATAAACTCGAGTGATGAAAACAAGGTCTTGATACGCCATATGAAAGATCAACTTTTAAATTTTGGTTGCAAAGGAACTTTCATTTAGCTTAGTTTTGTTCGGTTAAAAGCCTATCGATTGAAGATGGATAATTAAGAGTATAAAGTCACCGTCACCTGTACACCAGCACTGAACTGAGCTCCGAGCTCACACAGACTCATCCAACACTAAAAGGAGCACCCTGGAAGAGGAACACATAAAGGGAACATTGGATGAATTCAGAAACGAAAGAAAAAATGGAGAAGACTCACCAGGCAGTGGAGGCAGACATGGGAACTGGTGGAGGGAAGTGTCAGTACCACCGGCTTCACCACACCTTTCCTCGCCCACCTTAGAAAAAACTCGTCTAGTGCCAGTGAAAAGTGAAGGGGGCCACCTTGTGTTGATGGTGCCACAGGTGTAGTGATGATGATACAGATGTGGTGTTGATAGTGATGCAGGTGAAGGTACAGGTGTAGTGACGCCATTACACATGTGGTGACGATGATAAAGCTGAGACACACGTAAAGGCACAGATGTGGTGATGATGGCACAAATATAGTGATAGTACCGGTGTAATGGTAATAGTACAAATGCATTAATTATAGTACATGTGTTCAGCCAACTTTTACATATATATATATATATATATATATATATATATATATATATATATATATATATATATATATATATATATATATATATATATATATATATATATATATATATATATATATATATATATATATATATTGGTTATATAACAACTGAGGTTTTCCACATATATAAACTCAAATGGTATCTGATCCTCTTATTGCTTTTCATTATCCACACCATCCCCTGGAGGACAACTGCCTGTCCACTGAACTGCCACATTACGAAAGAAATAAACACTACACATCAAGCAATTCAACCCATTTCCCGAATATATTCAGGTTCGGTAACACCCTTATAGCTAAAACTTGTAATGTGGTGAAATAATCGTGTAACTGGACCCTGGTTATTGTGACAGTCACGTCACTTTAGTGCATGATAGCCAGAGGCTGTTGTCTAAGAGGCTCTCCTCAACACATTCACCTGCACCTAGAGGGGCAAAGACGAATCACAGCCACAGGTGTGGCTGTGATTCGTCTTTGTGTGGCTGTGATTTATCTTCTGTGATTCATCAGCAGCCACACCTGTGGCTGCGGGTGTGCAAGTGTGGTATTGGTTTCCATAAACCATAAGGTACGGTATACAGAAGAGGCAGCAAATAGATAATGTGACGAAACTCTTCATAAGATAAACCTGGTTACAGTAATGGTATGCCGTGCCGACAAGTTGATGAAGTAGATACATGTGTAACACCTGGGTAGCTTTATTGTGAAGACGTGTCAGCGAAACATCTTAAAAAAAAGATGTGTTGCACATGTTTCCTGAGCTAAACGTTTCTACAATAAAGTCTTTCTTTTGCGTCTTTATTACGAACTGCTTTATTCAATCCGCTTGATGTTTTTTCCCTGTTAATGAAGAGAGTGAGTATTATGTTCATTTACGAGCTTTTTTTTTCATTCTTTTGTGACTGTTAGATAAAAGACAGACACGATTTGAGACTGTGTATTTCTTAAGTTCTTCCTCGTCACAGAGCAGAAAAAATGCAAAATTATATATCCAGTCACGGAATTTGTTGTAAACTCTGCTAGTGTTTACGTATACCATATAACATTCCCTTAAATTTAGTAACAAGTTACATCACTGAGGCTCTTGGATAACACGAGATCTCCATGAATCTGAAGAAACCCTCGTACCAGAGAGTAAATAAATATTTCAGAAATTTAAAAGAGATTGCATGAAATTTAGGAAATGATCTAGGAAGCAGAGGTATATTTCAAGAAATAATTCAAGGCTAAAGAAACCCTAAAAATAAAAGGTAAATCCAAGAGAAGCCTCAGAAGCTAAAGGAATGTCGGGGTAAGTTAAAGAATGCTTCAAAAAGCCAACGAAGGCTCCAGGATGCTAAGAAAACTTATGAAGCCAATGTTGACTCAGAGAAATTTGCGACAGATATATGAGTTCACAGAAGACTTTGAAAGGACCAAGAACCAGCACCCTTGTAGAGACGAGGACAGTTTTAATAACTGAGGATGACCAGAGAAAGTACAGGAAACCACAAATTCTCCGGAGTTTTAAGTTATTCAGAAAGCTATTACAGAACATAAGATTTGAAAGACTGTTCCAAATAATTAAGAATGGTTCTATAATCTAACAAAGATTCCATAACTTCAAAATTAATATGAAATAAAAGAAGAGTTGAGAATTCCAGGAAAACTCCAGAGAGAGAAGGAATTAAAACCTCATAAATCCAGATGAATATTTTAAAGACCAGGAGAAAACCAGGAGGCCGTGAGTAACCACAAAAAGCAAAGAAAAACCCAGAGAGCCAGTAAAGGTTGGTAGCTCACTCGGCTCACATATTGAGGGTCAGTGGTTTGATTCCCGGTACGGGTGGAAACGTTGGGCATGTTTCCTAACACCTGCTGCCCCTGTTCACCTAGCAGTAAGTAGGTACCTGGATGTTAGTCGACTGGTGTGGGTGGCATTCCAGGGGATGAAGGGATGTTGCGTACCTCAGACAGGGCTGGACTTTGAAATGAGCTGAGGTAGGATAACAACACTTAGCATGTAAAACTGATCTGTGTAAAAAATAAACGATAAACAATAAGAAGCTTTAGGACATAAGGAAAAGACCCAAAATACTCACGAGAGTATTCACACCGATATATATATATATATATATATATATATATATATATATATATATATATATATATATATATATATATATATATATATATATATATATATATATATATATATATAATTTATATACTAATTGTTTTTATATCAGAGGCGCTAAACCTGTAGGGGTCATACAGCACGTAGGGAATGAAAGGCAATCAGGTTTGATCCTCGAGAAGAACAAATTAAATTCCGTGGATCAAGAAACCCTCAACAACACACTTATACTTTAATTTAACCTTTAGAGACGAGAAAGTAATGTAGATTGCAAGTGATTTACAACCTTAATAACCCACAAGCAGTCTATATGCTTTAATTCTAACAGATAAACTGCCTCTAAGAAAGGTAACTATTTTAATCTAATCCTTCTGTCGTCCCAGTGTCATCATATCTGTCTCAAATGTTTTCAGATCCTCTGCTAATAAATTGATTCGTAGACAAGGTGACTCCTGTAAACCAATTCTGAGCAATAGTATGTGCTTCGTATGGATGGTTATAATAGTCTGCCCTACACTTGTGCCTGCTGCACGACCTGCTGGTCTGTTATACTTTATTCGTACCTGCTGCACGACCTGCTGGTCTGTTATACTTTATTCGTACCTGCTGCACGACCTGCTGGTCTGTTATACTTTATTCGTACCTGCTGCACGACCTGCTGGTCTGTTATACTTTATTCGTACCTGCTGCACGACCTGCTGGTCTGTTATACTTTATTCGTACCTGCTGCACGACCTGCTGGTCTGTTATACTTTATTCGTACCTGCTGCACGACCTGCTGGTCTGTTATACTTTATTCGTACCTGCTGCACGACCTGCTGGTCTCTTTTATCTCACTCGTGCTTGCTGCTAGACCTGCCTTCCAGATTACAGTGAACCATTCGAAATTGCTTTGGAAATTTCCAAAGACTCGTCCCTTGAATTTCAAACGAAGACGCAATACGCTCACAGGTAGCTACAATAGCGCTCACAGAAAGTCATAAGAATACTCACAAGAAGCCACACTTTGTCATAAGAGTTTTGTGACTCACAGAAGAGAAATAAAGAATCATTCACCAGTTTAACGCTGATGGAGCGCTAAATCCGTTGACCACACAGCTCCTGGGAAATGGGAGTCAATCAGATTCGATCCTAAGAAAGAGAGAATAAATCCATTTTTTAATCTAGGCCCCTCATTAGTAGGGCTAGGTTAGGTTAGGTTAGTCAAATAAAGAGGACAAATGTTTCCCACAGCTGGAGCTTTTGGTTATCTGACCGAGGCCTTCCGCTGGCTTACCCCTTCGTCCCTTTAAAAATTACGGTTATGATTATAACCATTATATATATATATATATATATATATATATATATATATATATATATATATATATATATATATATATATATATATATATATATATATATATATATATATATATATAAAGTTAGTACAGTACAGCCTCACACACTCATGGATCATTCATTACATCAGCATTGAAATCTTCGCTGGCAAACGCTGATGTCTCCGAGCAGCATCAGAACTCGAAGCCACTTTAGTCAGCCGTAAGAAAAAGGCTTTCGTTGGAGTGCCCTTGTGAAGCCAGCGGTCACCGAGGGTATATAAGGAGGGAAGGGGACGCGGGCGTGGCAGTCGTGTTGTGTTCGTGACGCGGCGTAGACGTCATGCGATTACCTCTCTTGGTAAGGTTTAGCTACGTGTTGAGTGAGCGAGTGAGAAAGACCCTTCCTTGGTACATTATTATTTCGGAAAACGATGTAAAATACATGCAATGTTTATTATTAAATATTTTGAAGCATTCTTCACGTGTGTTCCATTGACCAACATTTTACATCAAGTACTGAGACTGCGTGGTCTTTATCGCGTGTCATTCATGTCTGCTGTCTCCCGGGGACGGAAATACATGCTCCTTCTTGATCGTAGCGGTGTCGGCCGACTCACTTCCTCTCGTATGATTCGCATAACGGGATCAAAGTACGCGCAAGGATTTTTCCTGCACCAGGATTTTCCCTCCATCAGATTTTTCCCTACACCAAAATTTTTCTACTCATCCTTTATGAAAAGATGTGTCGAGAAGTGAAGAAGTAATATTATGGGCGAACTGTAAACATGTCACACATTGAGTGTAGACGTGAGGATCATCTGTGCTCTGTTAACACCGTCGACAACTGGAATCCCAGGTCAACGTTGTTATTCCATTCATGAAAGAAAATCCCTTTAAGCCAGTCTTATGTGACGGCTCGTTCAGTGGTGCGACTGACCCTCCGGCAGAGGCACGGCAAGAAGCAGCAGCTAGCGTGGGCTGCTGTAGACGGAGTGTCCACTAGCGCAGATGAGACTGTGATAGTAGTTTGCCCTTTGGCCAAAGCCTTACCAGTCGGACACAGTTTTCTGAATCTGCCCTCTTCCCCCACGTCTCTCAGCCCAGTTTTAATCGGCTCACGATAAAATTATTACGGAAAACACACACGAGCAAGTTGTTCCTGGACAGTGCTTCGTTCTGTGTACCTTTACCATATCAATCAACAGACTCACAATTCAAGCTGGCTCTGCACCTGACATTTCTTGAAAATGGTTACGCCATGGTAAATCCTGCGTGGCGTTGGGTCTTCCATTAAAAATTTACTTGAACAACAGTTGAAGCCATTACAAATCCAGCAAATAAATACACTTTTCAGTTGAGAAGATTTATGACACTCATGGTTTAGCGGCAACAAGAGGAACTCACCAGATGGAATTTCCATGATACTTAACATATAATTTTTTACGTTCCCGACACAGTAGTTTAATATCTTCATTATGCCCCCATACCCATGCTGTGGGCGATAGTTAAAAGATCACGGAGGGACATAATGGGTCCAGGTTAAGTATGATTTGCCAGAAAACAGAACAAGTACTTCCTGAAGCGGGTCTTAGTCATATGACTCACGAAATCGTAATGACACGATTGCAAACAAACCACACCACGGGTGGGATTTGAACCCGCGGTCAGAGAGTCTCAAAACTGGTATGGTTTCTTAGTCATATGATGACCAGCAGCTGGAGTTTTTGGTCATCTTATCCCTCCACCTCTTTAATAATTAAAGTTATGATTATAACCATTAGAATATATCTGTCTTGGGTCCAGAGACTGGGCACTCACGTCGTGGTAGCGAGGAAAATTACACTTGTTACGAACTGCTCACAAGTTATTTGATCTGATTACAATCGTATCGCATTGATAACTGTAGACTATTACCGAAGAATTATTTTATTGTAGAAGTCATACACGAGGCCACAGGTGGTAGCTCAACGCTACCTGTTGCCTCGGAACTTAGCTATTCAACAGGGTTAATGTCACAAAAAAGGGCTATATGACTGGCTCCAATGACACCAGTTATTTTAGGAATTAAAGCCCCAGTCACCTTTTTTTTTACTACTCTAAGATTCAAAAGTCTATTCTATAGGGAAGACTATATATATTTCATGTTCTTCTCTAGATATATATTAAGTCCTGTAGGGTTCTGAGGTTTGCAAACCAACACAGGTTTCAATCCTACAAGAATAAAAACGAAACTTTTTTATTTTTTCTTACTGAGGCCCGTCATGAATATTAGTGACTGGGATAGACCGTACCATGGTAACAGTGACTGGGATAGACCGTACCATGGTAACAGTGACTGGGATAGACCGTACCATGGTAACAGTGACTGGGATAGACCGTACCATGGTAACAGTGACTGGGATAGACCGTACCATGGTAACAGTGACTGGGATAGAATGTACCTTGGTAACAGTGACTGGGATAGACCGTACCATGATAACAGTAATTGGGATACACTGTACCGTGATAATAGTGACTGAGATAGACTGTACCATAATAACAGTGACCAAGATAGACTGAACTATAAAAACAGTGACCGAGATAGACTAAACTGTATTAACAGTGACGGACACTGAACCATAACAATGGTCACTGCAAGAAAAAAAAATAAAAAATAACTGAGCTTGGGTTAAGATGGTTCTTCCACGGCCCACCTGGAATCTATTGCAGAATTTTTTGGGGTACATGGTCGTCAAATAAGATACGTGAAAGTTTGATTTTCTGAACACAAGTCGTAATGAACGACTGTTAATAATGAACAGAAGAATGACTATAGTTCAAGTCCCCGTTCATTTTTCCGTGTAATTTTTTTTAGTAAAGTTTCATGGCCCCCAAGTCCTTGGTCACATTATTTTTGACATATTCTCCCTTGAAAATGTCGTTTATCATTTCTTCAGTTTCTCCTTTGTGTTGCAAGTATTCTTACTTCCGTCCTTGTGTTCCTTTCCTTCCTGCTTCTTCGTTTATTAACCTACCTCTTTTCTCTCCTTTGCCACTCCCTGCTTCTTGCTCCTGTCTCATTCCCCACTTCCTTATTCTTGGTTCACTCTCCGGCCCCTAAGTGCATACCGATTTTGATATTCTTGTCCGTCTCAAGATGACGGACGTCATTACCTCATGTTGGAAACTCGTCCTGTGACGAAGTGTGACAAGCAAACATAGCTGGCTTCTGTTCCCACGTTGTAACTTTTGTTCCCACAATGTAACACTATATGTTCGCATAATGTATCTCCCGAAGCCACACACTGCGAGTGTTTCATCATGTAACTACCATACATAACACTGTAGCCACACACTGCAGGTGTTTTATCATGTAACTACCATACATAACACTGTAGCCACACACTGCGGGTGTTCCCACTATGTAATCAACTACTACTGATGTGTCCACTTTTGTTATTAAAAAAAAACCAAGCAGCTGCGTGTTCCATAGCCTTAGACCTGCATCAGCGCCCCACTAACCTTTGTGTGCTAGGGCAGCCAAGGCCGCCCTGCCCCGCCATTAGTGATGGTGAGCACGACAGCTGTACAAAAAATTGTCCCGAGATCTCACCTTTTGAATGCCCTGGGGGACACTAGCTGTGTGTCCTTGACGAATTCCACCACTGTCTAATGCCCAGACTTTTGAACTTCTGTCCACGTGCAAAGGAACACCTGTAACCGTATTTTTTTCTGCATACCGGCCGTCTCCCACCGAGGCAGGGTGACTAAAAAAAAGAAAGTATTTCTTTCTTTGACATTTAGTAATTTATATATGAGAAGGGGTTGCTAGCCCCTTGCTCCCAGTCGTATTACATCAAATAATATTCTATAATTTCAAAATTCGTTTCATACATTATTATTTAGATGATCAGAATCTATATACTAATTTCTCTAGCAGCAATATCGTGTGTTAAATGCGACTATTGTAGAAATTTTAACATCTGTTTAAGAGGATCCCAGAAGAGGGTCGAAATATACAGATCAATTAATCTCGAGCTTCTGTCTCTATATGGGTTATTACTGAACATCTGTTGTAAGTTCATTTATAAATTTATCCTGAATAAACTTCAGCACACATGGTCTCACCTCCAAATAATAATTCAGTAAATAAGATGAGCACTGTATATTTCAGCTTCGCACTGAGGCCCTCTTCGGTAGATAGCTCAAGAAAACAGTCTACTGAAGGGGACTTCAGTGTGAGGCCGAATTATACACAGCTCATTTTTATTGTTATTTGATTGCCTCGGTGTGTGTGTGTATGTGTGTGTGTGTGTGTGTGTGTGTGTGTGTGTGTGTGTGTGTGTGTGTGTGTGTGTGTGTGTGTGTGTGTGTGTGTGTGTGTGTGTGTTTATTTGTCACTGATCTGTCTTTATTGTACGTTGGTGTTTGGAAATCTGACTTTTATTCAACATAGCTCAAATAATGTTACCTGACCACCAACAACAGTGTCTGTACACCTGAGTATAAAAGTGCAAAACGTTCATAATTTACATGACAAATGTTCTTTTAATGAGACGTCTGGTCAGTCTTTACTAGATGCTAATGTCGTTCTGACGACAAAATTGAAGAAAATATACACATTGCAGAACTATCTCACTGCAGAGCTTTATTAAGCCGGCTTGATAAAGCTCTGCACACAGCGATACTCTCCCGGTAAAGGCTTGTTCTGCAACTTGTGTTCTTTTTTTCAACGTTGTTTACAACATTAATGTGATGTCAAGGTTGGTTAGTGGGTTTTCAAATGCCATAGTTTGTCCCCTGATTGTGAGGTGTTCCTGCCGTTACTACAGCTGGGACATTGCAAGGTTAATGTGAATATGTCCACAAAACTGTCGTATGGCTGTGCCATGATGAGGTTGAAGAACGCGATCGTTTATAGATATGTGAATTAAATATTATGACAGGAAATCAAGGGAGCGGCAGGGGTAGTGTTGATCCCTGGCCCTCTTGCCCAGACTCGCCGGATACCCGCCTCATTTTCCCTTCCCCACCTCCTCTGTTCCACACAGCCTCATGCATCATCCCTCTGCCCCACCTCCTCTGTTCCACTCCTGCCCCACATAACCTCATTTTTCTACCCCTTCCTGTGCTTTCCGTCTCCTCCCCACCACAAACTTCCCGACCTTGAGGTCTCCAGCCACACCCATGTTCATTACATTCACTCAGGAATTTCCTACAAGCAATCATTTTTTTCAATGAAAATTTCACCATCTCTAAAGCACACATCACATCAAAGACAGCCACTGTCTCGGGGCCCACAAACACCGCACACTGGTACACAGTTCGAGTCACAGGTCAGCTTACATCATCAGTGCATATACACCGACAAATGTGTGTTTGTGTGTGTATCTCAGTTTATATAGACCGAGGTTTCTACATCATATATACACTGAGATGTGTAACTCTATAAATCCACTGAGAAGTGACTATCTCTGATTATATACAAGAGGTGTGTATCTCCCAGTGTATATACGCTGAGAGATGTTTCTCTCAGGGTATGTGCACTGAGAACTTACTTCAATACCCATTTTAAGGATGAAAGTATTTTTGGTAATAATGTATGGATGAAACGCAGCCTAAATGAGCCTCAGCTAGTCGATAGACTTCAAACCCAACTAACGTCTTGCATCACTGGGATGCGGAAATGATGCATGAACTTGACTCCTAACCTTGGATGAGGGAGAGATGGATGTAGGGAGGCAGAGATAAAAGCACCTATTCCCACTTTATGCTTCTCCTTATACCCGAGCGCTGTCACGCTGTTGTTATTGCTGTTGTTGCTGTTGTTGTCGTTGCTATTTTTTTTGTTACTTTTGGTATATATTATTACATTCACGTCAGCTTATATTTACCATAGGGACGAGTTAAGAGTGCCAGTTTAAGAAAATGCATAGTTGTGGTACCTTTCCCCCATCCCTAAGTATTTAAATACACTCACTTTTCTAAATCCAGTTTTTCCAGTCTAACGTCCAGTCTTACATTCTTTAACCTTCTGATATCATTCTCCTCCTTTCTATGTGCGTTACTCACAACCACAGGGAAAGTTGAATAATATATATCACAAAATTTTTTAACTTTGTAGAGCCATGAAGACGAAGTTGATTGAAAACGAAAGATTTACATGAAGTGTTTAAATTAACACTTGCCATTTATCAGCATGTCCGAAACATGAACCACCAGATTGACTGGAACAGCGCTAAGATAATTCGCCACATATTTTGCACGTAAACATAGAAACAGGCAAACAAAAGAATTCCTTTTTAACAATATACATATTTTTTTTTACGATAATGGATAAATAACCATCTGCATTTTTTTTTAATCTCGTCTGCATTTCAGTAGACTAAATCTAGAACTTAGTACTGCATAATATTAGTACAGATACATAATAGTTTTAGTTAACTATAAATGAACTATCATAAATTTTAATATCAAAAGGAGAGTGACGATCTGAGATCATCACTGGGTCATTGATGCAGTTGTTAAGAGAGTGACGATCTGAGATCATCACTGGGTCATTGATGCAGTTGTTAAGAGAGTGACGATCTGAGATCATCACTGGGTCATTGATGCAGTTGTTAAGAGAGTGACGATCTGAGATCATCACTGGGTCATTGATGCAGTTGTTAAGAGAGTGACGATCTGAGATCATCACTGGGTCATTGATGCAGTTGTTAAGAGAGTGACGATCTGAGATCATCACTGGGTCATTGATGCAGTTGTTTAAGAGAGTGACGATCTGAGATCATCACTGGGTCATTGATGCAGTTGTTAAGAGAGTGACGATCTGAGATCATCACTGGGTCATTGATGCAGTTGTTAAGAGAGTGACGATCTGAGATCATCACTGGGTCATTGATGCAGTTGTTAAGAGAGTGACGATCTGAGATCATCACTGGGTCATTGATGCAGTTGTTAAGAGAGTGACGATCTGAGATCATCACTGGGTCATTGATGCAGTTGTTAAGAGAGTGACGATCTGAGATCATCGCTGGGTCATTGATGCAGTTGTTAAGAGAGTGACGATCTGAGATCATCGCTGGGTCATTGATGCAGTTGTTAAGAGAGTGACGATCTAAGATCATCGCTGGGTCATTGATGCAGTTGTTAAGAGAGTGACGATATGAGATCATCCCTGGGTCATTGATGCAGTTGTTAAGAGAGTGACGATCTGAGATCATCACTGGGTCATTGATGCAGTTGTTAAGAGAGTGACGATCTGAGATCATCACTGGGTCATTGATGCAGTTGTTAAGAGAGTGACGATCTGAGATCACTGGGTCATTGATGCAGTTGTTAAGAGAGTGTCGATCTGAGATCATCACTGGGTCATTGATGCAGTTGTTAAGAGAGTGACGATCTGAGATCATCACTGGGTCATTGATGCAGTTGTTAAGAGAGTGACGATCTGAGATCATCACTGGGTCATTGATGCAGTTGTTAAGAGAGTGACGATCTGAGATCATCACTGGGTCATTGATGCAGTTGTTAAGAGAGTGACGATCTGAGATCATCACTGGGTCATTGATGCAGTTGTTAAGAGAGTGACGATCTGAGATCATCACTGGGTCATTGATGCAGTTGTTAAGAGAGTGACGATCTGAGATCATCACTGGGTCATTGATGCAGTTGTTAAGAGAGTGACGATCTGAGATCATCACTGGGTCATTGATGCAGTTGTTAAGAGAGTGTATGTAACAGGGAGAACAGATCACATGACCTCATATCTCATTATTCATGTTTACACACTTGCTGAGGATTAGTATTATACTGAAGTGGAGCATTGAACTATGTGTGTCATTGCTCACGAAATCGTAATGACTCGACTGCAAACAAACCATACCACGGATAGGGGTTCGAACCCACCATCAGAGAGTCACAAAACTCCAGACCGTCACGGCCACGCTAGCGGGAGATTCGTCTGTAAAAACTTGCATTTGTGGCCACAGTGGTGCCTATGCTTACCTTCCTATGATGTAGAAATATACCTAGTTCGATGAATCTTATTGTAGCTAGCTGGCCCAGTGGCTAACGCGACGGTCTGGAGTTTTGTGACTCTCTGATCCCGGGTTCTAACCCCACTCGTGGTATGTGTGTCATTCATCGCAAGTTGTGGAAGCTTGATACTCCGTCCGCTAATCGCGATACAGACACGATGTCTGACTGTATATACTAAACTCACCATAGGTTCAAACACCACCTGTACCTTTTTTTTCTGAACTAACGGTTCAAGATGCTAGTGCTGGGACGAAAAAATGTTTTATTTATAAGGTTAGGTTAGGTATGGTTTGTCAGGAAACAGAACAGGTGTTACCTGACATGGGTCTTAAGTCATATGATTATGCGCAGCTGGAGCTTTTGGTCATGTGACCGAGGCCTTCCGCTGGCTTACTGGTCCACCCCCCTTTAAAAAATACGATTATTATTATAACCACTCAATAAAGTTATTTATATATTTTATTTGTAAGATATACTGTGAATATAGACGGTTTAACTGATGACAATGAGTATTGCAGGTACTGGTGGTGGTGTTGGCGGTGGTCGGGGTCTCCGGTCAGGAGCAAGGCCGAAGAAAAGAAGCCCGGGCCAGGTTCCGCGCTCTGGCTGATGCTGCACGCAATGGTGACACATCTGCTAAACAGATCTTACAGTCTCGACGCCGCAGTCGACCTCGTCAGCGTGTACAAATTGAATCAACCCCTCTTCCCGAAGAACCACAAATTGAAAGCACAGAACCGGCTCCGACGGAACAACCACTTTCGCCCCGTGTAAAGCTTCCAATTCGACGCACAAAGATTCGCGTAGCACGTCCTGTTGCCCCACCTGAACCCACCACATTTCATCCTCTATCTCCTGTAATTACACCAACACTCAGTCCGGTTAGGGTGACTCCTGAACCCGAAGAAATATTTGTGAACAAGCCAGCCACTGAATCCCCAGTGTTTGACCATTTCCCGACTGAACCACCGACAGAGGCGCCTATTTTCAATAACGTAATCGAGCAAACACAAGCCCCAACCAGACGTCGAGTGAGAATTAAAAATCAGCGACTCACACCAGTGCTTCAACGGCCCCAGCAAGTATCAACTTTCGAAGAGCCTCTGCAGTCTCTATCAGGCTTCGAACAGCATCAGAAATCCATATCAGGCTTCGAAGAGCCTAAGCAATCCATAGCAGCCTCTAATCAGCCTCAACAATCTATATCAGTCTTTAATCAGCCTCAACAATCTATATCAGCCTTCAAACAGCCTCAACGATCCAGACCAGCCTTCAAACAACTTCAGCAATCCACATCAAATTTCGAATTCGAGCCTCATCGTGCCATCACTACCGGCCTTGAAGTGGATTCTCGTTCTGAGCCAATCATTTCTCGAGCCACTGAGAACAGGACAGTCAGACCTTATGTCGAAACCATTAGTCGGTATTCCTATTACGACGAAGAAGGTAACTACATTTTCGGATATGAGGCAGCAGACGGCTCTTTTAAAGAAGAAAAACGGGGTTTAGACTGCATCGTCACTGGTAAATACGGCTATGTTGACCCTGAGGGTGTTCGTCGTGAGTTCAGTTATACATCGGGTAACAGGTGTGATCCCAATGCTGTGGTTGACCCAGATCTTGGGGAAGCACCCGCCTTGGAGCCAAACGACCAGTTCCTTCAACAAACAGTGGAGCAACCTCTTACTGAAGAGGAGCTTAGCCAACTGCAATTCAGTCGTCGACGTCATCCCGTGAGTCTACAGCAGCGGCAACCTCAGCAACAGCGACCACAAGAACCGCGACCACAGCGACAACGGGTACGACAGCAAGTACAGCAAAGCTTTGTTAGTGATAGCCGCCGCCGACAACCTCAGTCTCCTACTTTAAGCTCTGTGCCACAAACCATCCAGCAAGTACTACAACAGCATCAGGACTCCTTTGCTCCAGTGACTCCAGCACCCTCCTCTCGTTTCACCACGCCAGCTTCCTTCAGACAGTTCACAGCTCCCTCATTCCAAGTACCACAAACAAATATTGCCCAGGAGCAACAAGCAGTACATCAAGTGGTAGAACCAACGCCAAGGCCACAATTCGTAGACCAGAGACCAACACAGACAGATATACAGACTCCATCACCTCACTTTTTTGCAAGCAGGCCGACACCTAAACCCACTGCCTTCGATTTCGACAGAGAATTCCGTAACCTCTTCAGTCACTTCGGTGTTACAAAACAAACTAATCCTCCGACTCATCCCACCCACCGGCCCACTATCCCATCAACCTCGACACCCACACAACCAGCTACGTCGAGTCCCTCAGTACGTTCCTTCCCTGTCTCTCAAGCACCCTCATTCCCACCAACTCTTCCAGCAGCCAATCGGCCATTTTCTTTTGATGATAGGTCTACCACACTCGGGGGAGGTGGTGCCCACCAACTCGTGTTCGACGCTGCCACCGGTACTTTCAAAACCGTCCCTGCTCAACAGACGTCTCATTTCAGCTTGTCCAGACCAATTCAGAATAATCCTTTCTTGACATCAGCAACAACAGCTCCAGTGTCCAGACCCGTTCAGAATCCTTTCTTGACATCAGCAACAGCAGCCCCAGTGCCCAAACCAGTTCATAGTCATTTCACTGCAGCAACAGCAGCTCCAGTGCCCAAATCAGTTCATAATCATTTCACCGCAGCAACTGTAGCTCCAGTCCCAAAACCAGTTCAAAATCATTTCACCGCGGCAACAGTAGCTCCTGCACATGCTGCACCGGGCCGCCCTCTCCCGCTTTTCACTGGATCAGCCGGGTTCAACCCTCTGCCTCCTGTCCCTACTGGAGGTCTCGTTATTAACAAGCCTGGCCGCTCGCCTGCCACAGATGAGTTCGACAAGTTCTTCAACCAGTTCAATCTTTGATGTTATTCTTAAATTTTGAATTTATAGAGGAACGGGGACATGGTAGCTGTCTTTCTTGGATGATACAATAAAATAATGTTTGTATGCATACCAATGCTGAATGATCCACATGGATTTAGCGTTTTTTGTGAATAATTATTGTTTACATGCGGTAATGTGCTCAGACAACGTGACGATATATATATATATTATATATAATATATATATATATATATATATATATATATATATATATATATATATATATATATATATATATATATATATATATATATATATATATATATATGTATGTATATATATATATATATATATATATATATATATATATATATATATATATATATATATATATATATATACATGCATACATACATACATACATACATACATATGTGTGTGTGTGTATCATATGCCACTTTTCCTTTTGCTCTGTAATCTGTTTGTTGTTTTCAGTTAAAAAGCTAATAATATTTGCATAAAAATGACATGTCGCTCCTGCAGTGGTAAAGGAAGACTGGTAGCAAACAGCGACCATGATCTAAATAACTTTTACTTTCATGTGAGCGCCAGGTGAGCCGCAGGTACTCGGCTCCCTGGTGAGGCGTCCCGTCAGTCTGTTCACAGTAGTCTCACGCCCAGGCTGACCTAGTTACGTGGCCACTACACACAGCTCTGCATAGTAGACTTCTGCTGGACATTCAACTTTACACAACTGACACTTGGACACTTGGCTCTATATAGCTGATCTCGGTTGAACATAGCTGTCTTTAACTGGACACTTCTACACTGCTGGACACTCGCCTCAACCCAACTATTGTCTACATCATATGATGGAGAAAATGAAACCCTATAGTATACAACTACGATGTGCGCACCTTTTCACTTCGAGAGCTTTATTATACTTGCAATAAGTAGTCATCCACTCAGCCCCAAACTTTTGCCTCTACAATCACTCTTCCTCTACTTCGCGAAACAAACATTTCTGCTTCATCCGTCGTCGTGCACTGTTGAATGCTTGCATGTAGCTAGCCGTAGAATATATACATTTGCTGTAAATACTTTGCTTCCTCCTATGACACTAGCCTTTATACTACCTCATCACAAAGGCACCAAAGCTTTTTCACAGCGCCTTTGCCTGTAGGTTTGTCACATCAACTCCCGGAGTAAGACATTCGCCTATATTCTAGTATGAACATCAAAATGGTATACAATACCGACAGGTTGTTAGGTAAGACACATATGCAGCAGTTAGACAGCTTTATTCCGAAACGTTTCGCCTACACAGTAGGCTTCTTCAGTCGAATACAGAAAGTAGGCAGGAACAGTAGAGATGTGAAGACGATGTAATCAGTCCATCACCCTTGAAGTTGTAGAATTTGAGGTTGTCAGTCCCTCAGCCTGGAGAAGTCCAGAACTGGACTTCTCCAGGCTGAGGGACTGACAACCTCAAATTCTACGACTTCAAGGGTGATGGACTGATTACATCGTCTTCACATCTCTACTGTTCCTGCCTACGTTTCGGAATAAAGTTGTCTAACTGTTGCATATGTGTCTTACCTATATTCTAGTATGTTTATGCTCCCGTATTTCAGCTTTCTTGGAGAATACAAAACAACGCATCTGATTTACATGACAACGTATATACATGTCAAAACGCATTTGATTTGCATGAAGACAACGTGCATGTCTCTTATGAAATCACGTAACACAAAATAGGGAATCGACAGATATAAGGTCTAGCAGGCTACCTCGATCACCATACTTCATATATGGCGCGACCATCCGAGTTGTTATACATGACACCTCACTGTCTCCTCCCCGTCCCTTCGCCTTCTGCTTCTCAGTATTGTCAGGGGGGGGGAGAATGCTTAAAAACAAAACAAATAG